TATAAATGAAAAAAACTGGGAACCAAAAAAGGTTGGGCCCAGGTTGGGTGGTCCAGATTGGAGCCAAAACAGTAAATTCTAGTGCTTTGGCTGCAAATGTGGGGCTGGGTGAAATTCCCCCACTCAACAGCTGTTGGAAGCCCTCTGAAAACCAGTTTTTCCCAAAATTTTCATTCATAATCATTCTTCTCATTTCCCAATCTTTCTTTCTCTCAGCACTCCCACTCCCCCAAAATGAATATCAAAGCTTTTGAAAAAAATCAATTTTGCATATTATTTTTCACAAATTTTGAAACTTTATTTTTTGCTTTTATTATTTCATATTCATTTTTTGGGCCCTATTATGCACCACCTGACCAAGTATCATGATTTCAAATTTGTGCTCTGGAGCTCTGGAATCCAAAATAGGCAGCCACTTTTCACTGTCTAGGCACTGTACATAGCTGTTAACAAGCCAAAATTCCACAAAAAATCTGTTTGATGTAAATCTTTTGTTTTTCCAATATCTGGCATATTTTTAACATAGGTGTCACATAAATGAAGGTCAGGATATATTACACATGTAATGTTGAACGATTTGAAAATCTTCCTTGCACATTTGTGCCACTTCTGAATGATCTATTATGATCTATTTATGATTTTAACAGCCCAAACTCAAACCAAAGTGGAAATATATGCATGTTCATGTCAAATGTAATGTACCATTGGTGGCCTGTACTTTGTGGCACCCCATTTGTTTGTTTTTTTAGGGAAAAGAAGGCTTTTTAGGGCTGCAATTATTTGAAGAAATTATGACCGCCGATGAGCAGAGAGAGTGAGCGACCGGTCTTTTTATTGATAAACTCACGGGGGGCTCTGAGGATGTCAAGGTTTAGAATGAAGAAGAACCGATAGTGATCATTTCTTGTAACTAAGTCAGTTTAAATATACTATGTACAAGATTGATCAAGATGTGGTTGGGAAAATGAATAAGAAAGAAAAAGAAATCAATTCAATATGATATGCATCAACAAGAGAGTTAACAGACAAGAAGATAAGTTTTAGCTAGAGAGCTGATAAGCCCTTTTTTCTTCAGGGTTCTTTGACTACAAGAAGGGGGTCAGACATACATAACTAGGCTAAAAACAGACTATAATGAATGAGAAAATCAGGCAATGAAATCAAGAATGAAAAGTGATTTTTGGAATGAGTAAAAAATAGTATCAGAATTTCAACATTATTCTCTGGGAGGGGCCCAGATTGCTGATGAGAAGAATGATAAGCAAATATATTTTGATTACTGAGAAAACTAAGAAAAAAATGCAAAAAAATGCAATTTTCAGTTGTTTTACATCTTCTTTGATAAATGCTTACAAACATGTCAGTCTTAGAGATACTCAAGAGTATCCAAAAGACTTATGAATAATGAATTATAAATAATTGATATGTAATAACCCTTTTAAAATCCAGACAACTCAGAATATGCTTTCATGAAGGGTTGCTCACTGCAACTACCCCCAAAATCCTACTCCTTCTAGGACTTTTGCAAAACTCAAAGACCCATGAAGTTTAATAGGAATCAACTTGTAAAAGGAGGCTTTGAAATATTGACTGAAGTGAATGTATATCAAATTAGGTTCAAATATAAATTGTAGCCTTTCAAGATAATCTTGAAAGTTTAATTATATAAGCATACTCAATATTTAAACTTTCAAAAAGGGATCACCACACATTGTACATAGTAGGGGGTATCAAATATAACCAAATACACCACTATTTAATTGACTGGTTTGAAAAAATCCACCATTTTTTGAACATGCTGGTTCTTGATCTTCCACCATTGGGGACCCATTGGTGAAAAAAAAAATTGATAATTGACTGGTTTATAATGGTGGATTTTCTATATATGATACCCCCTAGTATTACAATTTCTAATAGTATCATTCTATTTTAAGAAGACACATAAGTTAAGTGGCTATAAATATGTGTCATGAAGTCATGGGACATACAAAATATTTTATTTAAAATGATACCAATTATTCCCATTACAGCAGGGGAATACTTAGCACTGGATCCCTGGGGCACCTGAAACCTCGGAGGTTGCCCGGCAACCCAACACAAGGGGATAATACCCTTGAGCCGGGAAGGTAAAATGTGAGTCCTGCACCCTTCCCCTGGGTATTGGGAACAGGCCACAGGTAAGTTTTTTTTCCTGTGAGGCTGTTTTAAATGCAGGTATATAGAGATGGCCTTGGGGTATCCGTTGTGGATACGCCCTATCTGCTGGCAGATACCCGTCATCGCCAACAGATACCCACCAGAGGATTCGGATGTGGGTGAGGATGCCCAATTTTCCTCCAAATCTTGGCAGGTATACGGGTATCTGTCAGACGGACCCTCTCGGCCTTGAGACCTTGTACAGTCTCAAGGCCAAGAGGGGTTCCTCTTGGCCTGGAGACTGTACTTGCCATACAACTTTACGGAATTGTTTCGCAAAGTCATCCATCCATGTATGGTGAATTGTGGTTGGACTGTTTGCATGAAGTCAATTAAACCATCATGCTTGGCCATGCTGAAGGGATATTTGTGCTTGATGAACATCCAGGTCAACTTATCACTGGATTCATCTTGGGAGAAAATCCAGACACCCTTTGAACGGCCAGTAAAGTTGAGTTGGCTTTGCCTCTGCAAGGTGACCCCACCATGTTTGACAGAAAATTTGTTGGGGATTCTATTTTGATCTGATCCCCAATAAATCCTGATCTGGGGATTGGATTGGTCCAATCCTGATCTGGGGATTGGATTGGTTGCACTGTCCATGTAGTCTGCTTGTGTAAACTTGTGTTTGATATACTTAGAATCTTCTTCAGTAGACCTGCTTCTTTGGCTTCTCCAAATCTATTTTTCAGACAGTTTTTCATACACATAGCTGAAACAAATGTGGGCAAAGAAAATAGAGATTCAGAGGGAAGAAGACAGAATGACTGCAAAAAGCCAAATCAAAAAAATGGACATTTTCCATTTTTTGGAGTCAGCAACCAGTTGCCAAGAAATATCACACAGATACTTGTTTGTCTCATCCCAAGTTCAGATCCAAAAACAGTCAATCTTATCATAGATGCATTCATTTCATAACAATTAGTTCTTGAGAAGGATTTGCAAGGTGACTTGTGTTGATGGTTGATTGATGTCAGACACTGAGACACTAGCCCAGGTGTCTACAATAGAATGTAACCCCCTTGGGTTACATAACAATTATTATTATATGTAATCTTTAAGTTAATAATTATAAAATAGTGTTATCCCTTTTTACATGTATTTTTTATGTTAATAATTATTCCGTAAATTAATAAAGATTCACCTCTTTATTAATTTACCTCTTCCATGAAAATTATAATCAAGTTGAAAAGCATAATTATCTCCTGGGTGTATCTAAGAGCTGATTATCCTATTTACCTCTCTTGTGTGTATGATTATTATGTTTATCTCTCCTATGTGTATTTTCTGAAATAAATGATATTCAGCACATGTACATTTAGCCTGCTCTGAATATCCTGAAACTTTCCCCCAAGGAAAAGTGTACCAATAAGGGGACTGCACCAGTCCCAGCAGCAGATTGACCCCTGCTCTGTAATATTTAAGAGGATGTCTCTCCCCCTGAGATACATCCCCCAGACAATATTAGCATACCAACCCAACAACCTTACTAAAACATATACTTAGTGAGTGGGGTTTTTTAGTAATATATTATCTACAAAACTTGTTGTACCTTTCTCTTTATCTCATTACTAGTCCTTATAAGTTACCTTATTAACTTATAAGACTAGTACAAACTCTATTCTTCTTACTCTCTTAAGCTCAGGCACAATGAAGCTCATTCCACTGTTGTCCCTTATTATTATAAGGAGCCAGTCCCTCCACCATAGCAGTGTTGAGTTGGACTTTATTTCCACTGGCCCTCTTGGCTATAGTGTGACCCAAAAACCCTATCAACTCCTGGTCACATAAGAGACCGGAGCTGACAATTGAGCATTTGAGTTTGAGCTGTGGGGAAGGGAGTATGGGTGATAAGCATCTCAGATGAACTTTAAATGCCACTCATTTTCACTCAACCCAAAAAGGGCAATCCACCTCCCAAACTAATCAACACAATCACACATTTGGTTTGCACAAGTCACCTGAAAATTTTTCCAAACAAGCACAACTTCTTATTGGATTAGTCATTCCCCTATTGTAATACTCATATGTTTATATCTAGTTATGCTTATAAAAAGCTTCCCAATTCACTGAGCTACCAGACTTCTAAGTTCTGCTCAGTCACTCTCCTTACTGCATATATCCTCACTGCTTTGTACTTCTTGTGAGTCTCAACCTCATCACTGTTTCTGTCCCTAGTGCCCCTCAACACTGCTATCCCATGACTTTGAGCTGCTATGCATCTTATATAAAACAATACACAGAAGTTCATGCAGCCCACTTGGCCTTCCTTATGAACTACAAATTACAACTCAATGATCTATACCTAATTTGAGTGTAACAATGGGCTACTTATGTCAAATAAGTGGTTCCAGTGGCTGCGGTGCACGATGCATAGACCCACATTGTCGGTTAGTATTCAATATCAAATCTTGAACTCAAAAACTGGATGCACTTCTGCCCCAGAGAAGTGGACAACCAATTGAGAACGATAATCATCCCAAATCGCTACCTATCATCAAGTCCCTTAATCACCTATCGACAAACACCCAAACTGCTTAATTCTTGTACCGCCTAACCACTCTTTCAAGACCAACAAAACTCAGGAGGAGCCAGAGTATAACACAAGTGGAGGTACACTTGGCTCAATTTCTTTCTTGTCTCTTTATTCCTTATCTCTTCTTTTAAAGACTTCTTGATTATTGATCTCATTCTATTTTCTTCAGGCTTGTTTGTTATCTCATTTCTCCTAATACTGTTTCTCGTGTCTAAGTTTGAGTCGTAGTCAGGACAAGAACATCTGAAGATACTTGATGATTTCTTTTCTTTCTTCACTTCAATCTTAGCCTTAATTGTTTTGTTTCTCTCTTCTGTTTCTAATCATTTATTCTTTATTGTTTCAAGTTCTTTACTACTATTAGCTTTTGGATATTAGTTGCAATAAAGTATTTGATCTCAATTTCCTACAACTTATTGATAAAGTCACCACTGACACACCACAGAATTATGCTAAAATTTAGTCTTGTGCCAAGAATTCAGCCACATCCATGCTAACACTACAGGCACATGCCCCCAAAATGTGCTCAGCTGTGCTAACACCATTAGCAGCCTGGAGTGTTGCAAAAAAACGCTAACATTGTGCGCTTCCTGTGCAAAACAAGGTGCTATGTTTATGAATTTTGGGCAAAAAGAACATTGTAGTGTAGTGGCCCATTGCTGCTGTGTGTGCCTCCATACCTATTAGCGCAGGTCATATTCCAACCACCAATTTTCTGATTGTCAAGAAGGTTCCTTTTCTGATGCACAAACTTCATTCACTCTAATCTCGGGATTTTGCCTCTAAAGGAGGGCTTTCCACTAAACTGTTTTACTTGCCCATAAACCATAAATTTCCTATTCTAACAAATTTTGACTGCTGATTTCAAAACCAGCACATAAACCCCCTTATTTGAAACATCTCCACTTATCTATCCACTCCCAGTGCACCCACTAGGGTGGTTCACATTTGCAGTTCTTTAGCAACACAAGAATTTCAAACCAGAAGAGCATTCAAGGTTTGGACATACAGGTGCAAGCTGATTTGGCTGGTGAGATAGTATATTTCTGAAAGCAGCAAGCAGCGCTGTGTCAGCAAACCACCAGCACTGATCCTCAAATGTGAAAGTTCCCATCAGTACATTTCACATTTAAATAAGATCTTGTTGATTTTGGATGAAATTTCTGCTTGCTGGTTTCAAAAAACTTTAAAAATTGGAAGATGTGCAGGCCAATTTTAAGTGTCCAAACTAAAGTTGCTCTGTTGATTTCACAAAAACATTTTGCTCAAAATTTTCAAATGTGAACTGTCATATTTTACTTGAATTTAATTTGACATAACCTTGACTCACGACCTCCTCCTTTGAGTAGAGAGCCTTGTCCAGTGTGCAACCTGCCCCAGACAAAATTTCACCAAGGAAAAAAAAAATTGAGCCACCACCCACCTTTACGTTTGGCTGGCTTATTTTACATGGTAATCCCAGAATTGATTCAATACAAGGTCCCCCTGGATCACAATTCTGAATTGTTATTGTGCAGCATTATGATTAAATACTTGAAATCATGGGTTTCAGATTGTGAAAAATATGAATGGGGTGTTAACACACTCAAAATTCTGAGACTTTCCCAGGAAATGACACATAATACTTGTGATTTGTTGCTAAACATAACATGTTTTGGGAGTGCCGCAAAGGGAATTAAAGATTGGATTCAAACAGACTGGGTTAAAACCCAGTTGGAAGTTGGAATGAAAGAGATCACATATCTTGTCACAAACATGTCACCCCCCCCCCCACTCATTCTCAACAGGTGCATGTTGTATTTATTTACATACATAAACTTGAGCTTGATTTCATTTTGCTAGGTAATCACATGGGCAACCAGAACCCAATCGACGGAGTCCGGAAATTGGACCCAAAGCTATTTACCTCGGTCACTCTGGTTTGAAGTATTATCGATTAGTCCTTGTTGCCTATCGCCCACATCCTCTCCAAGATACAGGATACCCAGTCATACCAGCACTAACCATTGCTGAGGATTCAATCGAATATTGTTGCTGGTTTACTTGATCTTTTGCGATAGTATCCATAGCTATGATTTTGTGAATCAAACCCGGGACTCGAGAGTCGTGCCAGCAGGCAATCCCCATTTGACGATCGACATCGGTTGGCGTGACCCGTAGGTTGTGCATTTGATCCGTGAACAGTGTGTGCCGACCGAAGGTGGTACTGCATTATGGTTGCTCAAAACGTATCATAGCCTCTTGTTTCTTCAGCCTCCTGCCGGTCCGAGCATCATAGGAGGTTATATAAAACCAGCTCACTTCTCAAGGCCGATTGATCATCCTTTCATACATTCACCCCATAACTTGACCCTTCGAATTCTGGCCGCACAATCCTCGTCTGAATAGTTGTAGCACTCAAACCTATAACCTCTATCCTTCCACCCATTTCGATAATTTTTAGATCCTTAACATAAGTCAACATTCGCAACCCACCGAGACTATCTCATTAGAAATGCTTCTGCGTCGGCTCTCAGCGGTCTTAATTGCGTCCACACAACTCACTTCCACCATCGCACGTCCACAAGGCCTGTTCGATACGCGATTGGATGGGGCCGGCGATAACCAAAGGTTCACCGACCTCGTCAACACGATGAACATCGGACTTGCCAAAGTGAAACAAGCAAATGGTGTAGACCAAGCTTCAGTATACTATATCATAGCCGATATGGTGTTCATGGTTCCGCAAATAGACCTAGCTGTGCGAGCCATCGGACAGAATGCAGCCAGAGTCACAGCAGGTGCAGATAACATTGTGATTGGTAACACTGTACAGAACGTATCGGATGACAACTTTAAAATCGGGTAAGTATCATTGGCTTCAATTTGGCTGCTGTCTTGGCAACTGAACTATGATCCTCATGGAGCTGACCGAATCCTGACTTGCTTGAACTCAGGAAAACCCTTTTTGAAATGTGGTTCGAATGGATGCACCCAGATGTAATTAACCAGTACATTCAAGTATTGGAGACTGAATTTATGAATAATTCAAACCGTGAGTCGTTTGCTTTTGACCTCGATATCGCAAATACAGTTCTTTTGTGGTTAAATGTCCGGTTTGTTTCTTCACATTATTCTGCCTCATCCAGAATTCGCCGGTGTCCAAGCTTTGGGTCGTAAAGACACGACCATCGCATAGACTTCTCGCCGCAAGCGGCCGTGAACGGTCAATGACGCGGGGAGGAAGGTAAATGATCCGGTCTGACGGTCGAGCGGTGGAAAAGCTAAAAGAAGATCAAGTTAATGATAATAAAAATTAAATCACTGGCCATGTTGCTGGTCGACGAAATATCTGCTAGTAAACAGTCTTCCACTCAGTGCAACCTGAGGAAAGACAATGACTGTTGTGATTTGTAGCTTATGTAAACTATGCCTTATTCCATTTCTCTCAAGGAGTAACTTTAGTTCCACCAAATTGGCCAAAAGAATGAAAATTTAGAAAAAAAAAAATGCAACTTGTGTTGGTCAAGATATTTCGATTGCTATGGATAATCACTCTCAGCTCAATCTGAGGGAGGACATTTAGTGTTGTGATTAGTAGCTCATGCAGGCTCTCTCCTATTCCATTTTTTGTACGCGTTAATTTTGTAAATAAGAATTGCATATTTAAAACACAGCAAGTTATCAGAAGAAAAAAAGAACAGAGCTACTGTCACCATAGCAGGTGTCAAGAGATTGAGCAGCCTTGTTCCAGCTTTGGCATCTGAGTTCAGACCTGCACACCATTGTAAGATTCTAATTCTAACCATTCATGAAAGATCTATGTGCCATTTACCAAAGTGCCTGTCCAGCCGAAATCAGATTTATCATCAAGTTATTTATAATTCCATTTTCTCACTAGAAATATGAGCATATGATATTTTAATTAATCTTAGTTATGCGCAAGCAGAACAAAGGCCCCTTGTGGTCTTATCGCTTGGCATAGACATGGGTTAACCACGGGGAACCTGGCGGCACTACCCCCCGAGCCTTTTCCCGGGCTCGGGAGCTCCAGCAGCCGGGACCGCAACCCCCGCGTTGTGGGAGCACTTTTGATTTTGCTTCCCCTTGTGTTGACCCCCTTGACGAACGCCGTACGATTCACGAGTATCTACATATTACGATGGACTGCACAGAATTTACACGATCTGAGGACTACTTGGATGATCAGCATCTCAGCAGACTCAAGTGGGTACTATAGGCACTCAATCCTTGTAAGAACACCAGCTGATTGTCAATTGCCTCTGCTATTTGGAAAAAAAAAACTTGGCCGCTTAAGGAATTATCAGTACAGATCAGTGGATCATTCACCAACAACAAAGTATATCTTGAGACATTGTACGTTTATAAGAGTAGAATTTCATCCTGTCTGTGACCAACTTTGAGTGAAATCAACTGAGTAATCCTTTCGTTTTTGATCATGTGATAAATGTGATGTTTCAAAAAGGGTAGGGTGGGAGTTTGTTGCAGGATGGATGCCTCCGTGGTTGGCGTAAGTTAACAGTGTGCTTTGTGACCCGAGAAAGCCGAACAAATAGTAATCGTGATTCGTTCGACATAGGCCTAATATGATTACTCTGATCGGATTAATGTTCATTGTTGTCAATGTCATTACAGTCATCATTTATATACCTGATCTCAAGGCCGATGCCCCGAGTTGGGTGTATTTTTCGTGAGTAGCGTGTGTTTGCTCTCGAACGCTGTAATCCTCCCAGTACCCTCATGTTAATGGTCTCGTCGCTACCCTATCTTTGCTTCTGATAGATTCGCGTTCGGGTTATTTTTCTACCAAACAATGGACAGTCAGTAAAGTTCGGCCAGATTTCTTATGTGGATCGAATTAATTTTCCCCGCACGGATCTTGAGCAGATGTCGATGGAAAACAAGCCCGGAAAACTGGAACTTCTTCCCCTCTTGGTGAAGTAGGCCTATCCCATTCTCTGGCCAGTGAAGCAAAATTGAGTTGATATATGATGTCTTGACCACCAGTTGTTCGATCATGGGATTGATTCATTAAATTGCGTCTTGGGAGGTCTAGTCCAATGCGCCGCGGTCGGCACGGGACATTCGCTATATGCAGTTTTTATACTCATTGTAGCCTGTTGGCCAATGTATCTCGTAAATACTCTTTTCTATCAACACAATTCAACACGTCATCTTTTTATTTCTCTGTCAATCGAGATTGATATATTCTTGTGTTTTGCATTTTTTTTTTGCACAGAGCACATGGGAAGAGTATCATACTGTGAGTGCATGTACGCCATTGATTTTTTTCTTCTTGCTGCAATACTAACCTTTTTTGTCATGTGATGCCTAGGGTATTTTGTATCTGGGCTTTGTTAATGGGTACGTCTAGACTAACAGTTTACTCAGCCCTTGAAAAGATGGATTCTCATACCTTTCACTTTTCTTGGGGTCTCTTGTATTCAGCCCGACAGAAGGACTTTTGATAGCGATGGCGGTATTACTTTGCACCGGCTTTGGTGGCGTTCAGCTATGGAGCAAACCAGCCGAAAATTTTATTATGCTGCCTCAACCAATCTTAACCTACAGTGAAAAATACGGACATCAGCTCACATTGTTAGACTTATTCGTCTCGTTTGTGATGTTTGCTCTTGTTTTCGGACATGCCCCTTCATGGTAAGTACGATCGATGTCAAAAACGGTTTCTTCTCGTCCTCTTTGTTCCCACAAAGCTGACCTGATGTGTTCACTTCCCAGTTTTTACAATACGTGGACGGCCATTCGAACCAACAAATCTCAGCCGCGCTCCAAACAAGATTTACGAATCCTATCCTTTTCACAAGCCTTGCTTAGAACACTGCCACTATTGATCTTCACATTCTGCTCAGCCTTATGGCTCGCATCCCCCCATTCGCATATACTCAAGAGTGAAAAAATAATTGAGTTCGGTCTGATGCTGTGTTAGTGATTTTAGTATTCTCTTTAAATCAAGTACAATCCTTCTAGTTTGGATGATGTGTGTTTTCTTTCCATTCTTGGAAGGCTAATTGGTACTATTTGTCTCAGGTTTAATATTTGGGCGAATCGCAACTAGGATCATTCTTTCTCATTTAACGAAATCATCCTTCCCTTTTTGGTCAGGAATGTTGATTCCTATTATAGGAGGATCAATATTAATCAACCTACCTATGATCGGGCTGTCAGTCTTGTCTCCATTCTAATGTTTCTTGATTAATGTGAGCTGATCCAATACGGAAACCTTCATTCAATAGACCGGTCGTCCTGTCTCCCTGGAGAGAATTGGTCTTTTTACGATTGATGTTTTTCTTCAGCATCGTTGGCTATGTTGGTAGCTCATTAAGAACTATCAATCGATTTTGCGAAGTTCTCCGGATCAATTGCTTGACTATTAGACCTAAGTCACCCGCTTAACGCACACGAATACATGATCCAATTTCTTCAAGAGCTCAAGTATCCGTCTTACTATTTCGTCTTGTACCGTTGTCGCTGTTCAAATTTATAGCAGAAGTATCGGAACTACTTGACAAATGTGAAATGATCTTCAACGTATCCCTGCATTCAATCAAGCTGGCTAGGGCTCCAAATAACTTACAATAGAGAAGCACCACATGATGTAGGTTGAACTTCCGATGGCGATCCTCTGGGCAGCTACATACTCTTAGTCTCCAACTGTCAAAAGACTTGGGTCATCAGATTGGAGAGTTGCCAGAAATAACTTATTCCAACGAGCTTGAATCCCGTAAAGCTTTCTAACCGAGTGAACTCAGACGAAAATTCTCTCAGCCTGAGCAGTTTCATGAACTGAAATTTTACCAATTTAGCTTGTTTTCTAACAAACGAAAAACAGAACACACTTGACCAAACTCACAAATTTGCATTTTCAAGTCGCATCAAACCTCAATCACTCTCTGGAATTGAAAGCTGAAGGGTCTTGAAAAGTGGGATTTGAGGGAAAGGCAACGGCTGTGGAATTCTTCTTTCTACAGGATGCTTGAGGTATTGCATTGGGTGCTAGTTCATGAAGGCACTCATGCTGATCTCTTAGCCATATCAAGAATTTGATCTGAGTTTGAAAGAATTGAAAATTTGTGATGATACTTATTTATCTCATCATCCAGAAAAACTTCTTAAGCATTGGTGAAATATCTAGCTCCTGGTCATTCTCTCCAATCAGAAACATCAGTGCCAATTTTTCATTTCCACAAAGGAGGGTCAACATACTTAGTATTGACTGAATCAAATTGCATTTTAAGGAGTTGCTGGCATTCAGGCATGGGATTGCCTCTAAGATAGGCTTGGCCAACTTAGGGTAGGCTGGGTTGGATATGGTACATTAGTAACTGGCACTGAATTCAAGCTAGACTTCATCCAAGAACTTGAACTGTCTGATGGTTCTGGATGAATGGCTTTTGAGAGAATAACCTTTTCAATTTGGGGGGTTGGCAACTTGGTTGAAGAGTATCCAAGTCCAGAGGACCCAGCACTGTGTTTCTTTGTGAGCTCTGGTGGATGCAATATGGAAGATCATCTAAAGATACTTCTTTTGGAAGAGTTTTTGAATGTTTGGAAATGTGAAAGGGGGGAAGGAGATATGCTCTTTGTCACCATGCAGTGTGATTGTGAAGTAAAACTGTAGAGGCACAAGTGGATGAGCTTCTTCATACATAAAAACTAAATTCCTGCTCAGTCAAAGTGAATTTTCTGCTTCCACCAAAATGTTGGAGGGCCGACGTTGCCGCTCATTGCCGCCAGTATGATTGCTACTCAGCGCCGTAGCTCCCACCAGTGGCAGGGAGGGAGTTAAGATAAGCGCGAGGTGAAGTGCGTAAACTCTCTTGCTGAGCCCGGCCCCGAAACAAGGAAGCTTATCAGCTGTTTATCTGTGTTTAAGCTCCGCTGTTCCATGCGGCTGTGTGACAGACGGCCCAGTCGAGTCATCCGATTTCGACCACTCTCCCTCCTCCCCATGATCCCCTGGTCCTGGTGCATGAGAAGCCTAACAAGGAAGGTTGGGACTGGCTTTGGCCTCCATGTTGCGTATTTATGTAGCCGAACCTCTGTTGGTGAAGGGCCTTTGAGTTTGATACCGCGATGGCGATGCGCTCTAAGCTCTTGGGGGATCCACGACACATCATTGTAATCCACGACACATTATTGTACACAGGTTCAGCTTCAAGACGCGAACTTGACTAAAGTCACTGAGCTTGCTGCAGTGGCTTTGAACGAAGTCGAGATGCATGGCCAGTCAGCCTCCATGGCCGTTCCTGCAAGCTTTAATAACCTCTGCATCAGGCTCCTGATCCGGCGTGATGTCAGAGGCATGTTGTATTGGCAGTGGCAGCCATATGGCACGATGCAGTTGGTGTAACTAGCCTTAAATGCCCTCGGAAGACTCGTACGGATTCGTTTTTTTTTCTGACTCATGATGTGCACGAGGTTAGCAGAGCTTACTGTTTGATAAGCTACAGCTATTCGGGATTCAAAGTGGGTGTTATACATAGAAGCAGCAGTTTTCTTTTTTTTTGTTAATAATTTCCAAGGGTTTGCTAACTACAACGCGAATCTTGAAGTATTTTAGTCTTGTCCAAGCGTTATTTAGCCCAGCCTGTGTTTATGGAATTTCTTTGCGGCCCAGACAGATCTTTAATCTTGTAAGGAGGTTGCAATTCGACGATTGATAGGAGTGAAGCGGTCAAGTGATTTTCTTTTTTTCTTTTTTTTTGGAAGTACTCCCATGATCTAATAAACTCGACCCGGAAATTCTGCCGGCCTGTTTTTAAGTCGATAAGTAATAGGTTGGTTGGTCTGGCAGCTTCAATGGATCTCCTTCAGAACGCCAGCCGGAGGAGAGTCGGAGAGGGTAGCGCTTGGAGGAGGGGATTTTGATTGTAGGACGAAGATTGTTGTAGGTTGTTGAAAGAGATACATACATACCTTGAACCTTCAGCGGCGATTTTACGCTTCTCTGTCTAAACTTTGAGCTTGCAGAAGTGAAAGTAAAAGCTTGTTCCCAGAAGCCAGTGGGGATTGCGAAACCCCTCTGGAATGGGCATCGATGGCCAAGGTGCTCATCCAATCGGATCTCCTGCTCGGAGCTCTCCTCTCCAGAGCAAACCCAGGGCTGCTATTAAATTAATCAAAGGTATCCAAGGGGAGGAGGACTGAGACGGAAGCAGTGCAATCTGGGCCAATCGAAACGCTTCAGATACAGCTCCTCTCAGCTCTTATCGTTCCCTCTTTGGATCCAGTCATGCTCAGTTGTAGGAGGAGGGGGTTCCATTTTCGGCCAACACTCGCCCGGCCGGCGACTCACAGCGCTATGTCGACCTGTTCGAGCGACCAGCAGAGCGCAGAGTGATCTCGCAAGGAAGCAGCGCCTGCCCCAGTCAGGCACCCAACACGCTCACTGGCTGCTAGAGTCAGTGGCTTGCCCGAGCTTGGTCCCTGCAATTCCTGAGCCGGTCCCTTTGCCCGCTGATAAGTCGGAAGGGAGTAAGCAAGCACCAGCACATCAATCGTCCTGGAGGGTCTTTCTTTTGTAATGCAGTACTACAACCACAAACTCATACTTGGACCTGAGCAGAAGCAGAAGCAGATATAAAGCAAGCAGCCTGCCAGCTTCTTGCCTTTCTCATCATTAACCCTGAAAATCGAGCCCACAGTCTTATCATCAGTTACTTCTACGCTGGCGATTTGGGGGGAGCATAGTACAGATTATTATCATTCTACTTCAATCCATCCCCTGCAGTCCTTCCTCATCTTCGGCTCAGTCGAGTCATCTTCATTCAACCACCCATCTCCCCAGGAGATCCCTCGAGCCACCCCAGCTCAGAGAAGCCTATAGCGCTATCCACTATATACCGCAAATTAAGTCTATCTCTCCATACTTCTACACCATCCCATCCCAACTCTTTTCCCCCCTCAAGTACACCCATCAAGATATCCTAATCCCGCAGGGACGCTGCCCTCAAGCTTAACAACTCAACCCATCAACTAATTGACCCTCTGGACTCGAAACCTCTTCAAGCCCGATCCGTAAGTTGTTCCACCCCATTATTATGTATCTGTTCTACATTTTCGGTAGCCGGTACTGCCGAAATCAGCTCGACCCATCTGCATACAATCTCCAATCGGTTCACCACACCCTTCATTGCACCACTCATCCCAGCCATCCCCCTCTGGGTGCTTCTCGAGCCTTGACATCCTTCAAACCCACTCATCTTCCTCGGCGCACTCTAAACTTACACATATCTGCTTCAAGGATTTACCTCTGTTGATGAAACATCTGATCCCTCTTGAGCAGCTGGCCAACTGGCAATCCTTCTCTTGTAAAACATTCATAATATAAATCATCTCAATATGTACCACGATCTTATTCTCCTCCCCCCCCCCCCCCTGTGATCTCCTCTTCAAGCATTCCAACTCTTCCTGATCATACCAACCTCCAGGAGCTCAGGTACAACATCAGCCTACCCCTTTCGAAAGAAGCTGTCCATCTTGCCTCTCTAGTACCCTGATTCGGATCAAGGAGCATCAGCCTTTGTTTCTGGCTGGCTCTCTTCTTTTCCTCATCCTCTTCCATCACCCTCACCATCAACTGCTGAAGGGCTTATGCCAATGTGCTTCTGGGCCCCCAATAAGACAGCCCTGGACTAATCTGTTGATTTTTTTTTATATTTCTCACACTCTGGATTTAGCCCTTCCCGCACAAGTCGAGATCCGCTCTGATCATGGCACTCAAACACCGCGTCCAGGGACTTTCTTG